TTGCGAAGGATTTAGGCTCGTACTTCACCGAATTTGGCGATTTTTAATATTTTGATGATGTTATTGTTGTTGTTGTTGTTGTTGTTGTTGATGTTGATGATGGTATTGTTGTTGATGTTATTGGTATTGTTGTTGTTGTTGTTGTTGCTGTTGCTGTTGCTGTTGTTGATGTTGTAGTTGTTTGTTGGCTGCTTGCTGTTTGTTCTGTTGTGTGTGTGTGTATGTGTGTGTTGGTGGTGTTGTGTGTGTGTGTGTGTGTGTGTGTGTGTGTATTGTATGTGTGTGTAGTGTGTTTGTGTGTGTCGTGTGTGATGTGTGACTGTGTGTTTGTTGTGTGGTGTGTGTGTGTGCTGTGCGTTGCCAGAATGTGTTGTGTGTGTTGTGTGATGCTGCCTTTCTTTTTTAACGTTTATCCATAATTACGAAATTAGTCAAAACTGCACCCTTGACTGATCGTTAGCGCGCCCTAGGAAATAGAAAGTCAGATAAAGAGGGAGGGAAGGGAGGAGAGAGAGAGAGAGAGAGAAGAGAGGAGAAGAGGAGAGAGAGAAGAGAGAGGAGGGAGAGTAGGGAATAGGGTAAGGAGAGTAGTAAGGTGTGATTTAGCTTACAGATGATTTGAGAGATGGAGAGAGCGGGAAACCAGAGAGACGAAGAGAGGAGAGAGAGAAACCAGGCGGGAGGGGAGAGAGGGAACCTCGTTTTCTTTGTATTTTGATCAGAAAGGGAAACAGTGAATGACAACTCCTCTAAAACCACCGAATCTACGGTTTCCCCTTTTTAAAATGAGGATCTCATTCCTTGTTCCTCATAATCCCTTTATATACAGTCCCCCTTCCATTTCACAAATTTAATCGATATATCAGACTTTCCCTATCTAAAAAAATATATATTTTTCATTATATTTCAAAAACTTTTCTATTTATCCATAAATGTTTATATTTGAATACGTTCGTTATCCCATGAATTGATCTGTTAGCATCGATAAAAATCTTTATGAACTACGAACATAATCTATAATCTTTTTATCACCCAATTCTTTTCAGATTCATATATCAAGTCAAGTACTACCACACCTGATATTATAAGTGATATTAAAACTACTGTCACTGTTGCCACAACTGTTCCTTCTACATATACTTTCCATCCTATTACCCCTGTTCCAAATATTTCACCTACAGCTATTAATGTCACTACATAACTTTTTATGTTTTTGTTTCCGGTCGTTGTACGCGTTTTTTGTTGCTGTTGCTTTTGTTGTTACCATTTTGACACGAAAACAAATCGACTTCTTTTGCAATTTCTGAATGAATAGCTTTTATTTACGTATTGGGCGGTGAGTTCGTTTACCTCATTCATCGCGGTTTACAAAACTCTGGTTTATCGATTTCAGCTAGACAGATAGACAGGGGAGAGAGAGAGAGATAGAGAGAGAGAGAGAGAGAGAGAGAGAGAAGAGAGGAGAGGAGAGGGAGGAGGGAGGGAGGGAGGGAGGAGGGAGGGAGGAGGGGAGAGAGAGAGAGAGAAGAGGAGAGAGAGAGAGAGAGAGAGAGAGAGAGAGAGAGAGAGAGAGAGAGAGAGAGACAGACAGACAGACAGACAGACAGACAGACAGAGCAGACAGAGAGAAAGACCGAGAGAGAAAAAATAAGACAAAGCAGACAGCCCTAGCCACAAAGATATTAAAACAAAACAACGACAAAAGAAAACAAACAAGCCACAGCAACATACCGTCGTGTCTGCAGTGAGTGTGAGAGTAAAGAGCTCAGGGTATCTGTGAGTGCAAGCAGCGAGGGTCGCCTCCAGGTCCACTCTCTCTCCTCTCACAGCCGCTTCCAGGCCCTGGGTGAGCTCCCAAGCCACGCCTATTTCGGAGTAGAATAAAAATGTTCATGATTATTGCGTAACTGTCTTCGGAATGAAATATGAATGTTAATGACCAATGCATGACATTAGGTTTCAAAATCAAACACAGATGGAATGAACTACAAAATGTCAATTAAATTTTTATGATAACTGTAGGAATTGAATTACAAATTTCAATAATCACTGTATGGTAACTATGCTTGAAATGAAATGCATAACACCTATTTGTCCATAATCTTATATTTTCTATCGCTTTTCCATAATACAATATTTACCCATCTCTCTATCATCCACATTCATCAGTTTCTATATCACTTAATAATCCTCCATTCCTCTACTACCCAAATATCAATCCATTTGTGTGTCACATAATTATCCATTACTAATTATGTGACACACATAATTATCCTTAATAAGTGACATTTCCTCACCAAAATGCTTTTACTGACCTATGAGCTTGTGGTAGTCCTCCTGAAGGCGCTGAAGGCGACGCCGAAGAGTCCTCTGCGACCTGACTGCTGTGGCGGCTGATTCCTGCGCCACCAACGCCGCTCCCACGCTGAAGAGGGGCGGGGTGAGGGCGGTCTGAGATCTTACAATTTTGAGATCTGACGGGTTTTTTTTCTGTTTTTTCTTTTTTTTCGGGGAATTCCTTTTAGAGATGGCGTTCGATTTCATGTTTTTTGAGGTTTTTGATCTCCCTCTCTATCTCTCCCTCTCTCTCTACCTTTCCCTCTCTCCATCTCTCTCTCCCTCTCCCTCTCCCTCCCCTCTCGTTACTCACCCACTATATATTTCTCCTTCTCCCCACCCACCCCCCTTTCACCGCTTTCCCCAACCCCACCTTTTCTCTCTTCTCTCTCTCATTCTTCCTCCTCATCCATCTCACCTCTTGGCGTGCTGACGTTGCTTCAAAACGTAACTGAAAAGAGCAGGACGCGAAGTCATCGAAACTCTGCGGTCCATCCACGCCTTCAGTCGAGCACGGAGGTCGCGAACCCACGAATCCTGGGAAGAGATTAGCGACAACGGGTATAAAATATATTTTTTTCCGGCGTTCGTTAAGATTATCTCTAAGGATTTAGGGGTAATTTCATGATTGTTTGTCTATAAGGACTTCGAAGTTCAGAATCTAGAACTCTGAAAAATAACAATTCAAGGTAACTTTATATCAGCTAGAGAAATCACTAGAACCCACGATTCCTGGGAAGAGATAAGGGACAACGGGTCTAAAATATTTTTTTCTCGGCGTTCGTTAAGATTATCTCTAAAGATTAGGGGGTAATGCCATGATTGTTTAAGTCTACCAGGACTTCCATGTTCAGAATTCAGAACTCTAAAAAATAGCTATTCAAAGATAACTTTATACCAGACAAAGGAATCATAGAACCCACGAATCCTGAGAAGAGATTAGCGACGACGGGTATAAAATATTTTTTTTCCGGCGTTCGTTAAGGTTATCTCTAAGGATTTAGGGGTAATTTCATGATTGTTTGTCTATAAGGACTTCGAAGTTCAGAATCTAGAACTCTGAAAAATAACAGTTCAAGGTAACTTTATATCAGCTAAAGAAATCACTAGAACCCACGAATCCTGAGAAGAGATTAGCGACAACGGGTCTAAAATATATTTTTTTCCGGCGTTCGTTAAGATTATCTGTAAGGATTAGGGGGTAATGTTATGGTTGTTTAAGTCTACCAGGACTTCCATGTTCAGAATTCAGAACGCTGAAAAGTAACAATGCAAGATAACTTTATATCAGCTAAAGAAATCACTAGAACTCACTGTGTCAGGGGCGTTATTTCAGCTTTTTCTTGGGAGCGAAGCAAAGAATAAAATAGAAAAAATGAACTATTCTGCTAGTATTTTGAAGCTATAACCGAACCCATATGTGTAATTTAGTAAAAGAAAAAAGAAGAAAAAGTTTAAAATTGTAGCTGGAGGGGGGCAAGCCAGACCTTAATGGGGCCCAAATACACCCTTGGGGAGAGGCAACTACCCCCCCCCCCCCCGACAACCCCTTTAAATTGACGCCCCTGGATGTTACAAACACACTTTGAACACAATAAAAATATCAAAATGCTTAAATACAGAATCCAGAAGGAGGACCTCCACCCACAGGACTGATCCAGCCCACCGCCTCCACCCACCTGGAAGACGGAGGCGAAGGCGGGGTGGGTGGTCGGGTCGGGCACGTAAGGCAGGCCGTAGAAGGGAAGGAGTTCTTGCACGGAGCCGAGGCGCTGAGGGCACGTGTCGAGGAATCTCCGAAAGACTGACATGGCTGCGGTGTGGTCCTGAGGGTGGGGGGAGTAGGGGGAGTGGGGGGAGGAAGAGGGGGGTGTAGGGGGATGGGGAGTCCAGAGGGAGGGTTGGTGGGGTAGGGGGAGGTAAGAGGTTTAGGTTAGGTTTGGTGGTTTCTTTGCTTTTTCTCTTTCTTTCTCTCTCTCTTTTCTTTCTTCGTTTGTTTTTGGTCTCTTTCTCTCGCTCTCTACTCTCTCTCTCTTTCTCTCTCTCTCTCTCTCTTCTCTCTCTCTCTCTCTCTCTCTCTCTCTCTCTCTCTCTCTCTCCTCTCCCTCTCTCTCCCCTCCTCTCCCTCTCCCTCTCCCTCTCCTCTCCCTCTCCCTCTCCCTCTCCCTCTCCTCTCCTCTCCCTCTCCCCCTCTCCCTCTCCCCTCCCTCTCCCTCTCTCTCTCTCCATCTATCTACCTCACACACACACATACACACACATTACAAAATAAACAGTACATAATAAAATATAATAATAACAATAAGAGTAATTAAAAACAATCCCTCAGTACCTGCTCGTGTCCGTGTCGAAGTGGCAGCGTAGAGAAAATAAACATGAGATGAAACTCCAAGATGAGGGCTATCCATTGACGGGCCGCCGGACTCTCTGCCCCGCACAGCCCGCCATGCCTGGGGGAGAGAAGTGTTTTTTTTTTTTTAATTTATAAGTGTAATGATAATAATGGTGGTGGTGGTGATGGTGTTTTTTAGTTTATTTCTAATTGTAATGATAATGATGATGATGATGGTGGTGGGTGGTGGTGGTGATGTGTTTTTTTCTAATTGTAATGTTATGATGATGATGATGGTGGTGTGGTGGTGGTGATGTTTTTTTTATTTCTA